AGCAGGAGAGATAGAATGGAAGAGCGATAAAAAAAAGTTATTAAAGGATAATGTCAAAGCGCGCACGAGTAATGAAACACTCGTATCGCGATTTCAAGAACAGTGGATTATTTTGCTCGTATTTCTTTCGCGGTCCTTGTTTTTCTTTATAATTGTACAATCGAGAGGTTTTATGTTGTAACGAGGAACTGCACACTGCAACGTATGACTTTGGTACGCGCGAGCACACGACACAACTACACATGCAAGGACATTACACGCGAATGCGTACATACGTATCATACAACACACGAGATAAGGGAAACATACAGTATGTCGAAACAGTGTAAGTGATATATAATCTAGACATAGAGAAAGCGTTTGTGTAAATTCGGCGTTTGTCCTTCGAAATGCTACTTCTCCATATGAGAATACTTACGAGGAAGCCTATTCGTAATTTTATAATAATCATTAAAATATCGCCTAATTACAATTACGAAACATGCACAATTACCATCCAGAACGGATTCGTTTCCACGGATCTCCAAGAATAAATAATTACCTACGAAAGCTTTTTTTATTAAGATCGTAGCGTAGATCGTAAAGTTAAACGAAAAGCGCATATATGTAAATGCTCCAAAATCTCAGAATAACATGTAAGTGTTAATGGAGCGAGCGTTCACTGTGCCCGCGACCGGCATTGATTTTTAAACGATATATTATTGAATAAGGAGAAAGAGGTAAAATTAAAAGTTGTATAGTAAACCTTTCATTAAATATATTGTCCGTAATGATCTTTACAACGAAATTCACCGTTTTTTCGAAGCAAGTTTTGGCGACGAGAGTGAACTTTTTATTTAAAAAAAAGTGAAAAAAAAATTCTTAAACCTGACTGATCTGTGCACTCAAAAACTATCAACCGTTAACGCTGAGGCGCCATCGACACAAGCCTCGTTTATTTATTTTGTGCGCCGGGACTACAAAATTGTAAATGAGATTTTTGAGTCGATGATGCCTCGGACACAGACCAACAGTCTTCAGTATCTTCGATGAGCAGTTATAATAGTAATTAAACTATTCTACATTTATCTATAACCTATAATAAACTGTGAAACAAGTATAAAAAAAAAACTCTCGTGTTCTTATTTCATCTTGGACAATTTAAATAATATTAATAGGTTAAGCATAAAAAATCTTTTTATTATTAATTGTTTTGTTTACATTCAAGCACTATATTTTCCATGGTGTTTATAAAGGTATCCAATTCATCTTTATTTAATTCCAAATCTAGAATACGTTTTGAATTCTTATTTTCAAGAATGAGATCTAATTGTAGAAGAGGCTCTCTTAAGGAAGCTAGTTTGCTAGAGCCCATTACAAACTGCAACATAGTAGTGCAACATATAGCAATGCGTTTTTGTATGAATTTCTTTCATACCTTCAATCTCCAGTCAAAGTCAATTACAGTCTCGTGTTTCTCTTTGGAACATTCCATCAGCAGAGCATCTGTTAATTGTTCTCTTCTTACTTTCAAACACGATAATATATTTTGTTGAATCTGCTCTGGTAATTCGTGGTACTCTTGTGGCATCTGAAAAGAATTTTATACAATATGAAAGTAGTTTTATTTGTCATATGATAATATTAATCAAACCTTTTCTTCCGTCAAATACAATGACGCTGGATGTCTTAGAAGCGTAGATATTAATTTATATGTCTCTTCGTATTCTTCTTTACTCCAATCCATACTATTTACAAATTTATGATAAGTCGGACCTGGTCTTCCACATATTTCATCCACGCAAGCGTGTAATAACTAAATTACACATATTAAGTTTTCGATAATCAAATTATTACTTTTTTAGATGTGAAGACAAGCAGTAATTATAACATTGTAATACTTACTTCTTTTAAAACATGAATCTTGTCCTCACCAAAGAGGTTAAGGTATAACGATTGGGCGGTATCCATAATTTAAAATTTTCCAAGAACTAACTTTGTGTACCTAGTTTAAATTATAAATAATAGAATTCAATAAAATCGAGTAAAGTTTTTGTATAAACTATGTTTATTTTATATGACAGTAATCGCAGATTGCAGTTTTATTTATATTACACATGATACATGAAACTAAATATCGTTGACAGAAAGAAATGCACATAGATTTGTCGTGTATTTTTATAAATATATAAGTTTCATATTTCATTTAAGCTTTATTAATCTCGAAGCTTTAATTTTGACATTTCTTCAGATTCTTTCTCTTTTTATCCCTATCTCGCTTTATGAATCATACAAAAACACCATATTAACAAGTTTCAACGTAAATTAGTAGTCACGGACTAAAGATAATATAGATGTGGCATCAAGTGGGATCTGGGTTTCGCGTTCTGAAATATTGAAAACTACTTTTTACGCCCTCTGTGATCTGTTGTAGTTACATACGAGATATATCAATAGACTTCGCTATAGTACAGACGAAGAATATGAATAGACCAAGCATCCAATGTACTTTTTCGGTCACGATTTCGGGGCACCCGATGCCCCGTTACCATTTTCGTGTCACATTCTGTCGTACCAATTTAGTAAGTTTTACCATAGAAGAAATAAATGAATAGACCACGCAATCAATGTATTTTTTCGACCGTGGTAAAACGGTCCTCACAACCGTACCATTCTCGTGTCAAATCCTGTCTTACCGATTTTGCGATCATAGCGCCACTAATGGCGAAAATTAAAATTAAAAAATATGAACAGCGTTGCCAGAACTGTTTCGAGAATTATTTATTGAATTGAATGATACTTCATTAATGAAGGAATATAAACAGCGAATTTAAAACAGTGACTAATGGAAATTGGGACGAAAAATTTAGTATATATTTGACTATTAACATCTATTTAAAAATATTAAAAAATTTTAAAACCTGAACTGTAGGTTGCGTAGTTCTTAGCTTGATATCGTTTTACAAACATTAAAGATTGCCGTTTTACAACTTAGCCTGATAACGTTTTAAAAATTGTAATGTTTGTAAAACGATATCAATTACG